AAATGTTCAAGACAAAGATAAACAACAAAAATTCTATAAATAAGAACAGTCTGATTTTACAGTGGGCTGCTTTAATAGGGGACCGATCCAAATATGAAAGGAACAAAAATTGAAGATCAGAACAAACTATTTTATCTTTAAAAATAAACAGTCTGAGGAGTTAGGGTTATGCATGGGTACCCAAGCTGTTCACTCAGGACACCAGTATTTATATTCTGATGTAGACCCAGTGTGAGAAAGGGAGTTGTTGGACTCTCATTCTCTGATTATGCATGTGACAAATTGCCAGAAAATTGGCACTTGAGACTCTTCTAGTCACTGCAAAGGAGATACAGTAGGTCAGAACTGAGACAGGCGTGAACCAGGCTGGGACACAATCACAGCTCCCCCCCTTTATGCCTTTCATGTCATATTAACTGGCACCAGTCTCACTAATCTTTGTCCAAGAATTCGAAGCGGCCGGCCTCTGAGTGGGATACCACTAGATGTCGCTATGTAGGAGACTGATTTTTGTCATTTCAGAGGTTGAATTAACTCCTTGTTTGGGTTTTAACTGACCTTTGTGTTTCTTTTTGCTTACAGTATCCACAGTATCTTGTAGAGAGTCTGTTCAGCCATTTGTATTTGTCAGTTGATCACTATCTGTTTGTTACAATTCTTCTATGGAAAATCTTTCAGTCCATACCAGCACATCCACAGAACTTTGATATGGCTTACTTTTCCATCCCTTTAAACTCCCTTTTGTATTTAAAATTACAGAATTTTTTTTTCAGTCAAGCCATTAAAACTTTGCAGAATGAAAACTTCTATATGTTAAACAAACAAGTCTCCTGGTTCTGCCCCCAAACACCCTGGGGTTAGAACTATTCTGTCCCTAAAACTCATGGCAATACTCACTTAATCTTGACCTTGTCTGGCATGAAGTGTGGCACAGTACATTTTTCTGTTTCACTGTGCATTTAAAACAGAGGTGGACAATTATTTCAGGCGGGGGGCTGCTTACTGAGTTTTGGCAAGCCATTGAGGGCCACATAACAGGCAGCCAGGGGCATAAAAATATTCATTTTCTTAGTTTTGGGGGGGCCTCACAGGCCGGATAGAATGGCCTGGTGGGCCGCATCCAGCCTCCAGGCCACATTTTGCCCAGCCCTGATTAAGATGATCATGGTCCAACCCACCCAGTTCACATTAAGGTAAGTAGAAAAGGCTTCTACTGACCTGGTCAGTTGTTGTAGTAGGAATTGAATTTTGCCTCTCAGAAATCCAATTTGTCTTTAATAAAAGCAGGCTCTTGATAGACAGTCTTATTTCTGTTGGCCTTAGAGTGGTCTGGATGGAATTACAGCAATTGACACAGAAAAAAAGCAGGGTAGTTGCTGTCAAGCAACACATTGTCCAAAGCCTAATATTTCTACAAATTAATCAAATCTCCTTATTGATCAGTGATATGGAACCTTGGGGGGGCTGTGGGGAGAAGGGGAGGTGTAAAGTCCAGATCCCCAATTCAACTCCCTGCTAAAACAGATCCTTCACAAAATCTCCTTTCATTTGACTCTCACATAATAGTGATGATACGATCCTTTTCAATGCCAGAAAGTATGTAAGAAGCTAAATATGTAGAAACCCACAAAATAGTCAGTCAGTAACTGAAAATGAGTGCATAGCAGTTGTGCCATGAGAAAACCAAACTGTAGGAAACCACAGGGGGGTGTGACAAAACCCACAGAGGTCTTCATGGGGGATGATCTGTAATTCTGTGCTCTAAATCACAAGCCTGCAGGCCAGTGTAGGCATAAAGATGCAGATGGCATTGCTGAACTTCCTTCAGTCAAAACTGCTGCGAGTATAGGGACTTTAATTTAAATATATTTTTCTAGTTGTCCTGCACCCATACCTTTTCTAGCCAGTGATGGCAATTTACTGCAAAAACTCCTGCATTCTTTGCTGGAAAAAGGTTCTCCCCTATCTCGTCCAACATCTCCACAGACAGCATCTCCTTAGTTAACTTTTCTGTTGTAATTTGGTTTGGCATCAAATTCAGAAGGAATTTAGGACAGCGCTAAGGCTTTCAAGGCTGCATTTGACAGAAAGCTTCTATGCTCTTTGCCCTCAATGTACAAGCTACAGGAGACTGTCCACAACACAGTTACTGTCCTATCTTACACAAAACAGTCGTTTGTGTCTAGAAATCTGCCAGCAACATTGGCAATGGCTACAGATGTGCAACTACCTCATACTGATCCTCAGCACCATTTTCTGTACAAGTAAGCATTATCTGCACTTTGTAGCTGGGACAACTGAGAAAAAGAGTTGCAACATCACCCTCATTCAGGAAATATTTATTTGGGCTCTACCAGATATGGTACATGAAATCACTTAACACATATTCCATCCACGCTGATTTTAGTCAATGGCCTCTATCATGCTCTGGCAACTGGGGGTATTGGAGGGGTGGGAGAGGAACAGGGCTGATCACTGGTCTAGTTTCATTTGGGAAATATCAAAATTTTCCACTAGGCACTCAAGAGATACTCTTTTTTTCAGAATGTTGCAGGTAATTGGAATATGTGCTGCACAGAAAATTTAGCGTAGAGAACTGATTTTGGGGACAGATATCCAATATGTCCCTGGCAGGTCACTTGTAAAGAGCGTTCTGCATATTTCAGATTCTAGACACTGCTCTCTCTCACCTTCCTGCAAGTTTCTCTGATCTAATATTCCAAACCAGAGCTTCTCAGACTCTCTTATGTTTTAGATTCCTGTCTGCACTCCTTCAGTCCATTCTCATTTAGTTTATTCATCCATCCCCCAACAAACCCACCCTCAAACCAAAATCCTAAGGTGTATCTTTATTCAGACTTCATGAGTTCAGTAGCAACATCTGACTCGCCATATTTGAAGCCTTGTCTGAAGTTAACTGGCAGTTCAAACATGGGACATTTTCCAACCTGCCTTCATTTTGAGTTCAATAAATGTCCTATTTTTACAGCAGAGTTCAAGTGATGTTGTTGCCTATTCGTACAGCCTCTTTCATCAATAAAACCTTTCCAAGCTACATTCTCACAGGAATTATTTTACCACATTTTGGTTAACAATGGTGTAAACCACTCCATTTGGGATACACCGTTGGAACTTTAGTGACCCCAGAGAATAAACAAGTCCTTGACAGGCCTTGTCTAAAAGCTATGCACAATGTAAATTGCATAGAAGTTACATACTTCTAAGAAAAATACTGAGTCAACCCTGGATTTAGACTCAAGGCTGCAGCCAGCTGAAGGGTGTCTGAAATGCAGATTGCTGAATTCAAGATGGGTGTCCGAAGGGAAAAAGGGAGCTTAGTCTATATCAGCTTGCTCAGACCACTTTCCCTTAAGCTGCAGGCTATTTTGTACAGGAGTTGCCCCACAAAATGATTTCTGCTGAATCCAACAGCTTGTAAATTAAGTTGCAAGAGACATGAACCTTGGCAGGTGTGACATTAGATTAATTTTCTCAGCAGAAATCACTAAAATAAGGCTCGGTTCAAGTTCCAAGACTCCCCCAGTGCATTAGCTGATACGAGAGGCCCCACACATGCACAGCTACTCTGTGGCATTGTTCCATAAAGCCCAGCAGCCTCATGCCTCTCACACACACAAGACAGAAAGACAGGGATTCTTTTGTGACAGCTCCCTTGGAGAGCTGTTCTCTCATGCTAATGGCAACACCCAATGGAATCAGCAGCCAACCAGGAAAAGAAGAGCACAAAAAAACTTTCACAATAGCTCAAGTCCATTTAATTATAGATGAGATTAATTATGAGAACAGTGAGAGGGACAGAGCCAGGGGAAGTGTTCAGAGCCAGGGGAAGGGCTCCTTTCAAGCCCTTCTCAGCAGATAGCATGCACAGACAAAAGGAAAGAAGCCTACCTGTACACTCGCCCCACAAGGACCCAGGAAACAACAGCTGTTGAGCAGAAACCTCATTCCTGGGCCAGTTTTCTTCCAGGGACCTGGTTAGAATTGAGCCCAAATCTTAACAGTGCCACTGATTATGTCCTTTAAATAATGTAATTAATAATGCCAGGTACAAAATACATAATGTTAATGATAATCCCAGTGCTTCTAAGAGAATAATCATTAATTGCTAAATAGTAATGCTAATAATAATGAAAAGTTTAGTTAATAAATACTGAATACAAATATAGTTTAATAGGTGATCATTAATTGTAATAAGTAGGTAATAAAAGTTATACATAAGACAGTATAGTGTTAAAATATTAACAGAAACCAGGAGAGACTCTCAAAACCCAGGTATCTCTCTGCAGGATGAACTGACTGCACTCCCTCACTCCCCACTTGTATCCTGGGATCCTGATGAGGAAGGGGGTGGCCCCCCACCCGTGTTCCAGTGTAAGAGGATGTTTGTCAACCTCCTTCCACAGCAAACGTAACCAAACCTCTACTTCCCACCATGTCCTGACCCTCACTCATACAGCCACCTCTGGAGCTGTTTCCTTACCACTCAGTGACTGCTTCTCTCTCCCCAGCACTGATGATCAGAAAATCACTTTCCCACAACCTAGACAGTTTGTCACAGGAGTTTATTTCACTCTGAATTATAAGCAGTCTCCCCTACAGTCTCCTGTCTTTGGGGTCTATACATCTGGACTTGTGACTCCACTAACAAATCATGGTGGCTGGGAAATGTGAGCTGAGTGATCCTGGTTTAGAAATAACAATGCAACAAACAGGTACCTCAGAAGGTAGGAAGGGCTCAATCGTTAAACACCTGCATCGCCGTTGAAGGGTTTCTGAAATTTCCTTTTCAACTCTCCAGGGTAAATGCCAAGCCCAACTTTTCTGGAGCACAGCAAAACAGGAATGATCAATATGATTAGTTTCATGAAGATGCTGTGACTGGCAGGCAGGTCTGATTACATCACTTGTTTGGGGCTGAGTCTGAGGAGCTTTATAAAAACAAGACCAAAAAGGAGCAGGAGAGAGAGAGAAGAGCAAGAGCTCATTAAAAGTAGCTCTGTGTGCACAGCACTGCTAGCAAGCTATCTTTCAGGTGACTCCTTCAGTGAGGGAAGAAAAGCCTGTGAACTGTTGGGATATTATAAATCTTTCCTTGAGATGTCAGCCAAGAGCTTTAGCAGAATCAAAGTGACTGCAGTGCTTTTTCTCTTCCTAAAGATACAACCCTCAGTGCAAGCACCATTAAATGGTAAAGTAAAGCCTTTCAGATTTGTATATTACTGCCAATCTTAACGTAGTACATGTGCATGCAGAAAACTGGCTGGGCTACTGGTTTCTAAAGGAGTATAGATTCATGTGTTACTTGGAATAAGCACTCTTAAGGCAATTTCTCAGAGCAGGTATATTTCCAGGGGGAGAGACTGAGTCCAGGTTAAAGACCAGTTGCATGCTTAGAACTGTTTTCTTTGGGACCTATTTGTTCCTTTGGCAGAGAGGCAGAAAAGAGATGCTACCTATATTAGTGGGATAACCATATTCTTACCCTCAGCCTTTATATAATAGAGCTCATTTTATTTTTAAAGAGAAGGCAGCCCTTGTTTCTCCTTTCTGACAAGTTAGTTCTTATTTATTCAGGAAAAATTACTGTGCAATTATATACAAAATCATGGAGATCTGCAGCAAGAGAACATATTCAGTACCTTTATTCATGAGAGGGAAGTCTGTGTGGTTCAGAGGAACATGAACACTCAGCTTCCTACAGTGTCATTCCAGGACAAACAGTAGATCATGGCAGTTTGTTCACATACCTGATGGGTAGAATTTAGATTTTTAAGGTCAAACTATTATTTCAGGCATTTTTTTCTGAGGGGCTATCATCTTCTCCAGCAGCAACTCTCACCTGTGTGCTAGTGGTTCTCAAACTACCCTGAAGAGTCCTTCTGTGGTAGCTCACAGAATAAAGTATTTGGAAAAAAAGCAGGAGGCTTGAAAGTGAATGCACATCTGGGCTAGGAGAGGAGCTTTCTTATGAAGTCATCTGGAGAAAACATTGGAAAACACCTATTGTCCCACTACAGCACACACGGTAACTAGCATGTCTGTCAGTCTTTCCCATTTCCTCAGACTGCAAGAGTTTCTGGTGGCAAAACCATCACTTCTCACATACAGTAACTAAGGGCTATCTACTTCCCCATTTTTCCATTTCAGAGGTACAGTTAGGGAACAGTCCCTCTCCATATGCTTGTGTGATTGGCCACTGCCACTAGGTTCCTCCTCCACTTTATGCAGGAACATCACTATATTACTCATCATTCTGTGCCCTTGTACAAACAGAGGAGATTTCCTGCATGAAAAATGAGGAAGAAACAAGAGTTGCCTGTCACTGACAAAGAAGGAGATAAGACAGGCTGTTGACTTGTGTCTAGCTATGGGAGTTGCTGTTCTAAGATGCTTTATCCCACAGTTACTGGTATTTTCTAGGTAGATTGGTATTTGTTTTGCTAAGAACAGTGACAACTTTACTGCATGGGCAAATATGCATACCAGCATCACTGCAGCTCTGCCTGTTGCAGTGCAGACAGGGTTAAGGGGCTTTTCTTACATAGCCATCAATTCTGTCTCTGATTTGAATTAGATGACACAATATTGCCTGAGCCCTGTCAACATCAGTTTCTACTGTTATTACCACCCATTGAACAGGAATTGTAGAGCTTCACTAGTTCCTCTTGACTGGGTTACGTGTTGTAACCATGTCCCGTACTACATAAGTAACTACATTTCAGAATACTGGAGACCTTGCTAAGTATTAGTAATTGTATAAATACAGATACTAGCTTTCAGATTCTTTTTACTTAGGATGCTTTTCAAAGAATGAACTCAAATTGAATGTGCCTAAGCTTAGGCCAGTTGAGATTTGCACTGGTTTGGAACCAGTTCTGCTTCAGGTAAGTCCGCCCTTCATGAAAACAAGTGCCCCAGAGTCATAGATTTCTACAGTTGGAAGGGACCTATTAGTCAATGGCAGGTTTGAAGTTTTATAATTATAAGTATGAATATATCCCAACTTTAAAAAAGAATTTGAACAGTTATGAAAAGTTCCACACCCCTAGTCAAATTATTTTAATGGAGTTTTCTTCTGGCAATCAGCAATGGGCTGAGATTGGGAAAGAGAGATTTTGTTAGCAAGAAATGTGATACTTTGTTGTGATTGGCCTTCTCAGATCTTTATATCTATACTACAGTGTTACATGTAATATCAAAACTATATGTAGTATAAGCTGTACCTGTTGAAAATTATAAACCATGATCCAGATTCAAAGTAGCTTTTAATTGATCCTGGCTAATTACTCATTCTTCAAAATTTTACTTTGACCCCTTGTGTCTGTGTTGGTCTAGTACAGGGGTTTTCAACCTTTTTTAATCAGTGTACTGCCGGCGGCTGAACGTGGAGCTGGGGGGTGCCATACAGCTGGATATGGAGTGGGGATAGGAGGGGGGTGACACATGGCTGGGTGCAGAGCAGCAGCAGCACAGGGTGGTGGATGGCAGCAGTGGCCACCATATGCAAGCTCCACCCCCTGCCACCCATCTGGCTGGCCAGGTGGTGCCTGTGCGGCCTGCAGAGGGGTGCCTTGCCCCTCCCCCCCAGCCCTGTTCCTGGGAGGTAGCAGCATGGGGTTGTGGGTGGCAGCGCTCCATCCCCATCTGCTCGTGTGTGCCCCCCTAAGGCCTTCCCACATATCCCACTTTATAACCCCTGGTCTAGTATAAATCTTAGGTTAACAAATTAAAAAAACAAATTAACAAATCTAAAAAAACTACACTGTTTTCTGTAGAGAAGTTTGTTGTGACACATGGATCTTCCAATGAAATGGAAAGACGTTGCTACAAACTCAGTCCCTCATGCAATGATTTAACTTGGACCACTGACTATTTTAACAAATAAGCTAACAACAGCCACCAAGGTTCTCACAGATCTATTGTCCCATGCCTCACAGAAAGGCACCTTATAGAGCCTCTTAACAAAGTACAACATTTCTTAGCAGCTTCAGGTGGTGAATACGAAAGGTATTTGTGCAGAAAGGACTTCATGTCATTCCTCACTTCAGCAGCTGGCCATGAACATTTTGCTTGGTGCAGGCATGTTTCAACCATCTGAACTATGCATCTGACCCTAATGTCAACAACATGCCATTTATGTTTCTTGATGCAGAAGCCAGAGAAAATAGCTGAGTTCTAAGAGCAGACCGCAGCTGTACCTAAAGCTTTGGGTTTTAAGGAGGTGTGTGCCATGATTCAACTAAGCTAGCCTTGTAGGCAGAACACACAAATAACTATAACCAAAATTACAGGGGTTCAGTGCTTTCTAATCTTAAAAACTGGCCTACTGGTGTTGCACAGTAGCTGAGGGAGGCAGGTACTATGAAATTTACCAGATCAGTTTAAATTCCAGGTGTTTTTTTTAAGTTATAAAGAAACTCACATTTCAAATATTCACAGCTGTGTATTTTTTTTTTTAAACAGGAACTAAATGGTCTTATATTGGTAAGTAGTGACTATCTGATTCTTTATTTTGTACTTTTAAGGGGAAAAAGCCAAATTTATCCTGATGAAACCGAAGTAGAATGTGCTTCACCAAGGCTTGGTCCATGGTCTAAGAGCCTTGTATTTAATTGTCAGGGTAATGAAAAGATTTCTTAAAAATACAAATAGGTGCTTTTTAGAAGGATCTATGTGGACCTGCAAAAATGATAAGAACTACAACGGGATTATGTAAGAATATGGAACTGCAGAGGTCTGCCAGAGGTGGCATTTTTATTCAGAAGTCTCTCTACATGGTGTAGCTATATCAGTGGTTCTCAAACTTTTCAGAGTCAGGGCACCCTTCTATAACTTCTTGAGTTTGGCAGCAATCCAGTTGAGAACCACTACTGGACTGTCTTAGTCACTAATGCATGCATTGCCAGGCTTAAAGATATAAGAGTTAATTAGAAAGACTGAAGACTGAGCTTTCAGCTCCAATTACCTACCCCCTTCATTTTATGCCAGTAAACTCTGTGATGCAGCAGTAAGTACTCTGCTCCTTGATAAGTGCTTGCCCATCTCTGTCTATGCCAGTGACCATGTACAGGCAGCAGGGAGATTTAATAAAGCAAACTCCGAAGCAGATGGCAGAGCAGGCTGATTAACTGTTGGAATGTTACTAGAGAGCATGCCAAAGCATCTTTCTTCCCATCCTGTCTGTGCAGCTCTTAAACCAGATGGATCAAAGCTTTGACCAGTATCAGGAAGTTAAAACACAGTTCATTAACTTGTGCTGCTTTCTCCACTGGCTGCAGAAAGGCTATAGGAGCTGCTTTTGCTGATCACGTACAAAATGTGCTTACTAGAGCTCAAAACAGCTTGTCTATTTCATGCCAAGACCACCCCTTAAAATATTATGGAAGCAGCTTTAATGCAACCAAGTGGCATGTAATCAGCAATTATAGTGTCAAACAAGGACATCATGTCACAGGGACTCAAGAGAGAAGGAGCCAAAAGCAAGACATTTTCCCCATAGGGCAGTGGTTCTCACCTGGGATGCTGTCACTACCACTGTCATCATGGTCAGGTGAAACTGTACCACGTAGCTCCTGCAGAGCCAGATGAGGAAGCAGCTGCGGCAGGAGCTCCTGTTCTTGCTACAGCCCTTCCCAGTGCAACCCTGCATTGTCTCTCTCAGAAGAGGCCCATGGGGCAGATGGAACTGTCCTATGTGCTTCTGGGGTTGCACCTGAAAGGGCTGTGGCAAGAACAGGCCTTCCTGCCGCAGCTGCTTCCTGATCTGGCTCTGCAGAGCAGTTCCACCTACCAGTACCAGAGGTAACTGTGCTGTGGCGCTCCTGAAAGGGTCTTGTGGCAGCCAGTTAAGAACCACTGAGATATGTGCTACAGTTCTGGATCAAAAGACACACCAGGAAGTCTCATCAAAATTTCATGAGTGCTCATGTTGCTAATCCAGCTGATCTTTATTTCAGCAACCACACCTAAACCCAGATTCTCCCAGTTTCAGAGAGAATTGTTGTGACTGGAGATACAGGCCCCAAAACTTTAGCTAACAAACTGATACTGACAAAATCTTTTATCAGGATGAGGAGGATATTTTAGGCAGTCCCCTCTGGGCACTAGGTGTTAAACCAGAGGAGCCTTCTGCCAGGCTCTAGCAGCTGTCCAGGAGGAAGACGAGTCAAGTATTCTTTTTTTAAAAACTGAACCAATATTTTTATTCAGTAACTAGGTTCTAATATTTCACACCCATTAAGCAGCAGGAAGGATTAAGAATCTCTGAAAAAGCCTTGTTCTCAGCTTTAAGTGCTGCTCTAAGCAAACTCACTGCTAATAGCTCTTCTGTTTGGCTGTATGCCAATTTAACCAATTCATTTGCATAAACAGGAGGAAAGAAATGTCTAGGATCGTCTCAGCTTGCAGCTGCATGTCTGTGGGGTTCATCTGTCTAATCCTCACATTTGTATTCATATTTTCAAATGCTCATATTGAAGACGACTTAGAGACGTACTTTCATAAAAGTCAAGATTCTCCTTTACAAGAGCAAAGGACTCCTTGGTCAGCCACTTACTTCAACCCATCCCTATTCATTAATAAGGAAAGCAGGATGTGGTTTTCAATACGTGATGTAGAATGGCTGCCCTTCATATCAGCAATAGGGGTTGTCTCACCACTTAATTTATACTATATTGTGATTCTCTGTAAAGGGAGTGTAGAAAGCTTGCTTCTCAGAAAACATACCTCACCATTGCACATTAAACACCACTGAACCTGCAGTCAGGATTCCTAACACCTACTGGAGGAAGAGTTTTTCAAAGTTAAAGTTTTTTAAATAACTATTCATCCAATAATTTTTCATGTCAAAAAGATTAGAGAAGAACTTGAATTTGCAATTAAATATGATTTGAATGCAACTGCAGCGTTTGTTAGAACTCTTCTTACTTGCTTATATAGGAACAAACAATGCATGTGTGACCTCATCAAAGTTAGTGAAAAGTTCTGCTTACGTTATTCTACTGCATATTGACGTGATTCCTCCCCTCTTTAACCCTATTACCCTTCCATCACACAATGACACATACTAAAAGAAGTCAGCAGGGAGGGAAAACAGAACAGTATTATGCTCATTATGATCTTTGATCTCAAGGTGAGGGCACAGTGATAGAAGACAGGAAAAAACCATGAGTTGCATGAGTGATGTTAGAGAAGGGGATGCTGTCAGTGAGCACAATCACTCTTTGTTTAACAGAACAATGGGTAGAGCTAAATGCTAGTGCTGCCAAGCAGCAGTGACATTACAGTCTAGAGCGGGAACATTTCATGTCATTGTGCTTGACAGAGTAGTACTTTTCAGAACCAACTTCGGAACGGTTAGAATCATATTCCAGTATGTAGTTCATGCATCATGTGCACACACAGTGAGTAATAAATCCTGTTTGCAAATAGTATTTAAAAAATAGCCAAGCAAACCAGAAGTGTAAGCTCACTGACAACTGCGTGATGTCTGAGATTGGAGTCCAGTCCACCTCGTACTCCCATGCCTGCAGCACTAGTAGTAATAGATGGCTCAGTATTAGCTAAAACAGAGTCCTGCACTAGGTGATGCAGGGCCTCGCTATTCTTGTGGAACTGCAGCATTTCCTGGAAGAGATACGAACCTTCCATGGAAGTCTCTGGTGTTGCGGTGAAGTACTGCCATCGTTCCTGCTTATATGGTAGCATGTAAGCCTCTGCTTCACCAGCTCGGTTGGCTGCACAGGAAACACTATCAATTTGCTTCTTCCCTACACTCTGTCATGGCTCATTCCAAGAAGGGAGCAGGGATTGCTATTTTTCCCAATCCCTGGGGAGGACAAGAAGAAAAGGCTCCTTCTACTCTTCTACAGAAATAGCTAGCACTGATATGCTAAGAAACAAGATGTTATTGTGACATCAATTTTCCAACTCCAGTGCTGGGTAGTATGACCATAGAGCTGCTGGGCTTGCTTGAGTTTTATGCATGCAAGTCACAGGGTGGGAGCGAGGGGATGGCATAAAATGAGAATACAGCCTGAATTTTGATAGTGGCTGCTTAGCTCATTGCAGACCAGGTCATGAGTGTTGCTCAAGTAGTTCTTACTCATATTTTATTTACAATCTTCTACTATACCACTGCCAGATTACTTTTCACACTTGGGCCTACTTGTGGTGTATAAGGAAACATGTATCCAGGAACCAGAAGTTGCTCGCTGGACCAGGACGTGTTACAGTTCTAGATCAGGGGTGGGCAAAATAGAGGGGCAGCCTGAGCATGGCATGGTGGCCAGACTCAGCTTCCCAGCAACCCCTGAGGCAGTAGCTCACTCTGCCTGGCTGCTGCTGCCAGTCCACCCTGCCCTCACCGCTATGGGCACTGGACAGTCAGCAGGCAAGGTCTCTATGGAGATTGGCCCGGGACCCCCATGGGCAGGGCATGCTTGGCCAGATGGATGGGAGGGGCCCACAGGTGGGTGGGGAGCAAGACGGATAGGTCTGGGACTGGGATTGCAGGGCTTGATCCAGAGTGGATCGAGGCTCTGCCCCAGCCCTGGCCCCACACTGTCACTGCCCCATAATCCTGGCCCTGCCCACCCATCCCACTCCCGGATGCCATTCCCTGCCTGCCCATGGTCCCATCCCATCTGCCTACCTGAAAGCAACCTGCCTGCAAGTATCCTGGGCTGGTCTCCAATGAGACCTTCCCTCCTCTGTCTGGTACCCTGCACCTCCAGCAGTGGGTGTGGGGCAGATGGGCTCAGGGCCACATAGGATCTTGGAAGATCATCAAGTCCAGCCCCTTCCCCAGGGGCAGGAAGTCAGCTGGGGTCATAGGATCCAGCAAGATA